AATGCCCATCAATGACAGATGGATAAAGAAAATGTGGCACATATACATTACGGAGTACTATGCAGCCATAAAAAAGAATGAGTTCATGTTCTTTGCAGGTACATGAATGAAGCTGGAAACCATCATCCTCAGCAAATTAACACAGGCACAGAAAACCCAATACCATATGTTCTCACTCATAAGTGAGAGCTGAACAATGAGAACACATAGACACAGAGAGGGGAGCATCATACACTGGAGCCTGTGTGGGGCAGGGAGAGCTCATGTATGCTCGGCTTAATACCTAGGTGATGGGTTGATAGGTGCAGCAAACCACCATGGCATACGTTTATCTATGTAACAAACCTGCATGTCCTGCACACATACTCCAGAAAATAAAACAAAACAAAACAAGGAAACAACTCAATTCAAAAATGTGATTTTTTTAGATTCCTCATATAAGTAAGATCATGCATTACTTGTCTTTCTATGACTGGCTTATTTCACTTAGCATAATGTCCTCTAGGTTCATGCATGTTGTCACAAATAACAGTGTGAACAAAAAATAGAATCTTGGGACCCCAAACTCACTATGCCAAAGGGAAAGTTAATCTTGGGGACTGAGGCACCAATACTGTCTTCCTTTTGTTCCCAAACAGGTAACTGTAATTTCACAGCCCTGTGTCATAACCTCGTTTTCTCTACTCCTTTCCTCTTTTCACATGTTTACTTAATTTAATGTAAAATGTAGATTTACTGAGCACAAGACAATTTATAAACAACCTTTTCCTCTATTCTCTTTTTACAGGTAAAGTATAGATTTACTGAGGCTCAAGACTCAGGAATGTAACTATTTGTGTCATTGCCTATTCTCCCTCCTTTTCTTCCCCCTTGAATACTGAAGTTCTCAAAACCCTCTATGACAAAAGCCTGGATCACAGATGCTCCTGTGATTTGTGTTTTTCCCAGGTGTCTTCCTTAACCTTGGCAAAACAAACCTTTAATTGATTGAGACCTACTTCACCACTTTTTGGCTTAAGACAGGATTTCTTTATTTTTAAAGCCAAAATAGCATTTAATTGTGTATACATACCTCATTTTCTTTATCTATTCACCTGCTGAATGAAACAGGTTGATTCTATACCTTGACTATTGTGGATAGTGCTGCAAGGAACATTATGTATTCAACATACTAATTTTAAATTCTTTGTCTACATCCTGCAGATGGGATGACTACACCATATGATAGTTCTATTTTTAACTTTTTGAAGAACTTCCATACTGTTTTCCATATGGTTGTACTAATTTACACTCCCATTAACAGTGTACAAATGTTTCCTTTTGTCTACATCCTTGTTAACACTTATTATCTTTTGTATTTTTGATAATAGCCATTCGGACAGATGTGAGGTGGTTTGCCACTGTGGTTTAAATGGAATATCTTAAGCTTTCCTATCTGAAGATTAAAAGTACTCTCCCCAAAATATTACTGCTAATGTTGCTGTTTTGCATGAACCATGACTTTGAGTTGAATTCTTGAATATGAGGATATGGGTTTAAGTGCTCAAGAGCTGTATCTTTATATTTTAGATGGCTGAATATTAGGGCTTGCTTTACTGATAAGAACTTATAGAAGAAGTAGACATTATAAAATGTCACAAAGAGATATTTAAGTTTTTGGGGGGATTGAAAGAACATGGTGACTACTAATCTAGAGGCTAGGGTAAGAGCTGTATCTAAAAATATCCCAGGTATCACTAGGAAACCAGAAGTAGAGACAAACAGTTGTGCTGGAAAGAGTGACATGCATAGGTTAGCTCTGGGTGGTTTAATCACCAGTGGTCCAACTGAGGCAATGCACAGATGAGGAGATTGACAGGAAGAAGGAACCTGAAGAGACAGATCAGGAAACAAAGCTTCATTGTACAGCATATCCACAGCAGGCAGCTTGGGTTTTTGTTCTAATCTTCTTCTGTCTTCAAGGGCCATTTTCATACAACATGAGGAAACATGGGACTGGTGAGGTCTGGACAAGATCACCCACATTCCTCATTTCCCCTCTAATGTTCCAAATGCCTTGTATCACCTGATTTTCTATCTTCCTGCTAAAGCTTTCCCCATACTCCTACTCCCTCACCCTCCATCATCCTCCAATTCTTACCTGACTTCCACCCTGGAGTTTCCCCGTGGCCACTTGCTTGTGGGACGCACTGTCTGAACACAGCCTCTGAATGCTGCTGTTCTGGGTCTTTCTTCAGATTCTCTAGACTGAGATTTTAAAGAGTTAACTTTGTGCCAAGAGAAAGGACCTAATTTATATGTGCCATGAAAACTTCTTATATGTAACTGGTTACTGAGAAGTTTATATAAGAGAAATATGTAAGTAGTTTCACAAAGATTTTGAAAAACTTAGGGATAATTGCTTGATAAATTTTAATTAAAGGAACACAATATTCTGGAGGCAACATTGCTAGTTATATTACCATTGGCATTTAGGAGGCCACAGAACCTTTCAGAATATAAAGTGATTCTTGATTCCTGAAGTAAATGCAGGGCAGGGTCCTGGATGGTCCTTCTGGTGACAGGGTGGCTCCTATGTTCACATTCAACTCCATTGACCAAGAACAGATTCCAAGAGATGCTGACCGGGGAAGATGATTTCTTGCTTGATTTTCACAAAGAAAGAGTCCACAACTTTTTCTTTGACCTTGAAGGAAGAGAGGATGTCCCCTGAAGAGAGTGTCCCTACTACAACCCCAAACCCCTCTGCTAATGGCAGTGTCTTTTTAGCCCCTCTACCCACATGGGGTGTGCACTGCCTCACCTTAATTGCTCTGCCCCCACAGAGTCCAGGCAGGCGACTCAGGTGAGGCACTCAGAATAAGGATGCTTGACCTAGTTTCTTTCTTCTCTGGCCTTCTTCTGCCTGAATTCCTTGAATAAAACAGCAGGGATAGGGCCAGGGCACACAACTGTAGACAAGGCTGGGTCAGGCAGACACAGCTGGCAGAAGCCCAAAGCAAAACCTTTCGGGTGAGGTTTCAGCCAGTCAGAAAAAGGCTCTAAAGAGACACTTGTTGCTAGCTGAAAAGTCTGTGCGAAGAGGCCTGTGACACTGGGAATCCCCAGGTCTGACAAAGCCTTTGCCTCAGATTAAACCCATTGAAAGTTTTTTCCTTAGACAGGAAGGAGAGGATGGATTAGAGATCTCTATTCTGAGGGACACTGGGATGGGGGCTGAGGAAGTACATTGAGGTCAATTTCAGGTCTCTCTGCTCATTCTTCCGTGCCCCCAACTCCATTCCAGGTGTGAGTATGGTTCCTCCTTTATGCGTCCATGACAGCAGTGGAGACCCTTCTTAGACTGGGGTTACTCTGATCCTGAGTACACCATATGCTACTGCTGCTGGACGCTCAGTGGCAACTTTCCCAATCTCAGGTGCTCTAAACTATGTACTGAATAATACAGAATATTGGAGTGACTCAACGCTTTTGTGTGCCACTATTGCAAACCTCTTGCTGTTGCCTCTTCCCTCTTTTTACCTGATAAACTTACATTCTGATTTTAGATTGTATTCTCTACTTTAAAAGCAGAACCTGAAATTTGGAGAAGAGCAGGAGAGAAAGGGAGAGAAGAAGAGAAGTGGAGATATTTATTGTCTTGGTTGGGGTCAGAAGTAATGTTTGCCAGGCATTGTTCTAATTACTTTATAACCATTAGTACTGCCCCTAGTCACTGGC